TCCTCACCAGCCCCTACTCCACTGACACCCACCAGCGCCTCCTGGCTGCAAGAAGAAACACCTTTTAACAAGCTGAAATATGAAGTTTCTCATACGTGTGACACAAGAACAGCATTCGTCTTTGTTTCGCACGAAAATCAAATTTACCTCTTCCTTACCTGTTGAACAGGTTATTAGCCTTTTGTAGGGTGGGTAAACTTTGATTCGGGGTGATATTCAAGTATTATTAATAATACGATTTATCAATTTTTACTTTCCCATAAGATTGGGAAAATACTGTAAAATCGATAAATTAATAATAAACAGAAATAAAAACAAAAAGTAGGAATTAAATGCATAAGTAAACATGTAGAGAAATAAACAAAAAGAATATTCCAACGAACAAACAGAAAAGTAAACAGATGGCCAAATCGTAATATTGACGAAAATAAAGCTGTTTCCTATTACACGTGGCCTTTTTTACGATTTTAATTTCATAAGTGAATTATATGTCGCCGTGGCATATCACGTCCTCAGGTATGGAGGATAAATGCAATGTTTCAAAGAAGCACTCACAGATAACCGACATGGGGTGGTCCTCAAATGTGGTGGCTGAGAGAAAAAATTTATAACACCTTACGAAGTGTAAACGAGCTTCCGATTTGGACGGATTTTTTATTTAGGGCAAGTTCCAGTGACAAGTTATTGTGAATACGGTAATGGAACTCCGGTTTCCATAAACAGCAGGAAATTGTTTAACTAGCTGAGCGACTATTAGCTTGTCAAGAAGCATTCAGCCCGACAGAGTTCGATATACCTGCTGCTCTGTGTATTAAAGTCGAGTGAGGTCACTCGGTTTATGCGTGTCTAAACACGAGGACACCAGCCACAGTTTAAGATACCTTGTCTGAATTAATTAATTATTAATAACGTTTTAGTTTATGATGATCACTGTTGTCTGGGATGTTGCGCCGTGTAGTGTGATAAAAGTTTGCAGACTCTCAGCTGCCTCAATTATCATCAGGGCGACCATCACCGTAAGAACCCGAAATTCCACCATGTCAAGTTAATGTCTTCTGCTGCACTTATACCACAAGTTCATTCGGCGTGAATAACCGGTAGGAAGTTTTCGGTTTTTATCGAACGTTCCCTATTCGGCCGTCACTTCGGCTTACAAATAAAAATAATTGACCACCCCTGGTCAACTTCCATTATTTGAAAAGGAAAGTGAGACTTCTATTATCCTTGTCAATGTTGGTATTCTGAGTTTTAAATACATACTGTCTTCATCTTCAAGGTTTTGAAGATCAAGACAGTATGTCTCTCCGACACGTAAAGGATTTGAAGATGGCTGTCTTCTGGGTTAGGATCTACCTACAAGTCCACGTGGCACATGTGCCACTAATGACGTAAGATGCATGACGGAGCGGATATACACACACATATCGCACCCTCTGTGCGGTCACATTATCGACCGTGTCATCCATCTGGATGAATTAGTAAGAACAAATCGAATGGACTACCGCGACGATTAGTCAATTTGACTCTGTTCAAAGGTTCTTGGATCGTATCCCCGAATCGACTGGATGGTAGCTTTACCGATCACTGTGTCAACGGTTCTTAAACTTTCTGAAAGGCAACCCCTTATTATTAAAAAAAATTACTATCCCATGTTTACCCATAAGAATTTCGTCTTAAATGGAGTTAATGGAAATTATATAAAATTCTTTTCATTTGTTTCTTTAAACGGCTTGAATGTTCAACTTTGTTTTGGATAGATTAAATTTGTGTTGTAAAATACAGAAAAAGGAAACACTTGTTTAACATGTCACATTTATAACACAAAATATCGAATTAACAATTATTGACAAGGGAGGAACACAAATTAAAGCAGAAGCCTGCAGCATGCTGACATTAAATATAATGTCAGTGCTCAATAAAACGTCAGCAGTAATAAGAATTTTATGAGGCAGTCATCTTAGAAAAATATGTTACCTTCGTAACAAACAAATTTGAAAAACCTACAACAAATCTCGAGTTGTGAATTCGACTTCTATTTGTTTACGATAAGTTTAACTAACGAATCACTGGAACTGGATACGAAAATTGTTTCTGGAGATTCAGCAGAAGCATACTTACATATTCAGTAACAATTACAAACATGGCGGCTGCAGGATAATGAGGTTTTATAGGTTCACGGTGTAATTATTAATTCATAGTTCTTGCTAACACCACACTACACATTAAAATATAAAACAAAAGTAGGCGAAGCACGTTCTCACTATCAAAATCGTCATTTGGATTTCAACAGCGTCATACGTTACCTCACCAGTTACAGACCGATTTTTTTTAACCAAGTTATCTGAAGTGTCTTAAGATTAACTGTTGTTTCCAATCGCGACACGTGTAGAAGAAATTTCCAAACATGCACTGCAATAATTTCTTTAATTGCGCTTCTTGGGAATTTTAAATCTATGTCGAGCGACCACCCAGTTCTGAAAAATTCTCCTTATTAAGATGGTAAAGTGAAAATCAAGTTACGTCACTGAGCAAAATACTTTGAATTCAGTGATATAATGAAAAATTTTAGTATATTATTGTATAGATATCCAAAGGTGTTTTTTCTCCTTACGTGTTTAGTGACTAGATTTCATTTTCTGTGACATCACAGAACTCCACTCTGCCCTGGATCACTCTTGTAGCACTTACATAACAAAATGAGGTCACTGACAAACAAAGGTCGTTGCTTAATGACATCAAACAAATGAAGGTACATTTTAGACGAGAAGCAATCCGGGCGTGGCCCAATCTGGCGAACACAAAATTAAACTTCTGACCAACGTAACTTAATTATGTTGACGTCATTCATTCTCTGAGGTAAACGTATCATAGGCCTACACAGTTTCGGGATTTAGTTCCGAGTGTCTTCAGGTTACTGATTTACATTAAATTGACATACTTTTTTTTAATGATTTTATTTACTAAATTATCACTTTGAAGCCCGACACGCAGCCAAACATCTAAAAATTAAATTCTTAAATCAAAGCAAACACAACGCACGTCCATTACAAAGATCAATCGATTATTGCTGTTTACAGCGGTAATAGATGTTTTATGTGAAATCCATACCAAACTCATTAATTTGCTCTGTTGGCAAAATACAGAGTTGCTGATTTTAAAGCAAGAGGTACATGTATTTACCGCTGGACTTTAAAGGTTAATTACAACAGTAAGAGTCGAGCCAAGAATACTGTGATTATTAATTTTGTTACCACTAATCAAAACAAATATAATCAGTAAAATATCCGTCAGTCTAATGACGAGTCCCCTGATTATGGGAGTACTCTTAAAGCTGGCGGAATGTCGTATAGTCGTATAAACAAATCTACCTCAAACAACTGAAAGTGTTCAACAGGATTGGAATGCGATGTATCATTCTCGCAAGCTTTACAGACTGAAATAAGTGTGACAAATAAGTTGTTCCAACGATGTAAGTTTCATTTCCATGTGTCGTTTAGCTTTTGTTAAATGAGTATTTGAAACAGCTCAGATCATTTGTACACAAAAATACAGAACAAAAGAATGTCCAGTACAGCGCAGAACGTATTTGGAAAAAAGAAAGTAAATTCTTCCGTAATACATCGCGCTATTTTTGTTAAACGTCTAATACAACATTCAACACAACTGAGATGTGACCTTCTGAATGTAAAACGTATTACAACTTCACTGTCATGTGACCATATGATATACGACATTGATCTTGCAAAAATTACGTAACGAAAACAAATAAATATAAAAGAACGCATTCCAATTTGAACTACTCATGTTTTCCAAGTTAATTCTTTGAGACATTGGCCTTGATGCTTATTTATAGCAAAAACAAATGAAATGGTGCAAAGCTAATCATATTAACATACATTATATATAACTGACTTATTTTTTATTCGTAGGATGTATATTATACTGATATAAACCGAATTTAGTACGCTCAATAAAACACTTCAATATAAGATTTAATCCAAATATATTCAATGGTTTTATGATAAACATATTTACAGACTGATAGACATAACATCCGTATCAAGGGCTCGTGAACAGAACGCACAATTAGAGATATATAATCCAAGTTATCACTTTCGTAAACAATAATAAGTGTGTAAAGGAGAGACGTTTTCCAAACATCCTGTTTGGAAAACGTGTGAATGAAGCATGCATATCCGCTTGACAATATCATAACAAACAAGGATGTTTCCCTTTCAAATTACAAGTTCCAACATAGGAACGAAGCTGCTTATATGAAGTACTGTCGATATAATCAAGTCCAGTCACGCATGGGGATTCACAGTAATGTATTATATCTACTTATTAGTCAGCTCGGGGGATTCCACCGTCAACGCCTGTGAGTCTTACCAATATGGTGGAGGGGGGACAAGGAAGAATAAACTAGTTTCAGTTAACTGTAAGGTTATAGGTTGAGTGCCTAGGGACATTTTAAACCAGAGTGTATAAACTGCCTGTATGCAAGAAAAGTCTATAATAGCATGTGTGCGGATGTTGGTACAGTACAGAGTTGGGAATTCATCGTGCTGCAACGGTTGTCTGGGACCGGTGATGTGCCGTAACATCACGTGGAGGAAAAACACACGATGTTGAGCACAGTCTGTTCCCTGGTAAGTATTAACAGTTCTTGCTACAAATTTATATTCATTGAAAAGATCTTTCTGATTAATATCAAATCCGGAGAAAATGGAATATTGTAAAAAGTTGTTACTGAAGAATCAGAAGCACGAGATCTCAGCACGCGAGTCTCTCTTCTTCTTTTTTTATTTGTTTCTGTCTCTTTCCACCACATATAAGCGCCGTGTTCTAACTCTAACCTCACATCTGTCAGCAACAAAATAAAAAAGTAGAATCTAAGCGACGAGGTCACGCGTTGTGTAAAGATTCAATCATTATCCACGAATTAATATTAACAGAAAAAAACAATTATGCCACATGTACACTTATGAATGGGGCTCAGAATAATAACTCGTCTGCTCGTCTGTAACTCGTAAAAACAGAGGGCAGACTAATACAAAAATTGTATTTTCTCTTTAAAAAATTTCTTCCGCTTTTTTTATTTCTCTGCAGATGTTCAACAAATTTTTTCCGCTTAGGTATGAGGACCTTTGCTTAAGTGGCAATATATATGAGTGTTGTATGAATAGCCTGTCGCTTTGTTTCATTTTCACAGATAACGTACGTGTAACATTCTAAACGTTGCCGATACTAGCGAGAGGCCTCTCCACTGTGTAGGTCAACTGAAATCATTTTAATGGCAAATTAATTGACTTCCAAAAACGACGCTTTTTAAAAATTGACCCACATTTAGACATTTATTATTTAACATGGTAATAATGCCTATCAGATCAACAACATGTAATCAATTAAACTTAACAGGTAATGGAAACGAACTATATTAAAGAATACTCACAAAGTTTACACCGTATCACCAAGAGGGGCGTGTGGTGTAGGCCTAATATATTTATTTGTCATAAATTTTAGTATCAAAACATCATGTGATTTAAGAAGAAGCTTATAGTTGCTTTGGCAGAATTATACTAAACCGGAAGTTCATGACCGTGCTCGCAATAATCTGTCGCTCTCGTATTTCGAGTTAGATTAATCCAATCCACAATCTCATCATACATAATTAAGAACCATTTTAATATTATCATATATCCATACAACTCGTAACTGTTTTCCCCAAAAGGTTTTTCAACTAAAATTATACGTACCTCATCTCTCCCATGCATGTTACTTGCATCATCCCCTTTGATTTTACTATCGTAACAAATGTGGTGAATATTGCAAATTATAAAGACCCTAGTCATAATTTTTTTTACTTTTCTTAATTTCTCTATCAACGGTCCAAAAATATTCCTCAGTACACTTGTTTTCAAACGTTCTGAACCACTTAGGCCTGTCAAATATAATTTCATGGAGAAACATCCTTTTTGATAAGTTATCAATCATAGAAATACATTTCAAAATCATGTTCTGCCTTTCGCGTGAAAAGCGTGCTGTTGTAAAGTTAAGTAATTGTATGTATACGCAGAAAGACGGAAATGGTGTCATTATTTGGCTCGACGGCTAGTTTCAGACGGCGTCTTATAGCAGTGAAAGTATTCATGAGCAGATTTTACCGCGTAGTGCTATATTGAGTTATATAATATCAAGTCTGCTCACTAGATGGATAGCCGCCAAAATCGCGACGGAAACGCCACAACATTTTGTATAAATATTTTATTATAGAATCTTTTATATATGGGACATTTTGTGAGTTGTTAAGTCTATATGATATAATTAGCGTAGTATGTTCCGTAAAAATTGGTAGGAATGGATCTTTTTAGTGTTGAACGATAACACAATTTATTGTAGGAAAATGTTTGCAAATCGCAAAATTTGTAATTATTTTTTCAGCTAAATTAAATGAGAAGACTCGACCTTAGGCGCCACCATAGCTTCGTTTTCATTTATTGTTATCAGTGTCGCCACTTTCAGAATATATTTTTAATTTTTCTGGACAGTTTCCTGACAATCGACTATTAACTTCTCGACTAGGACTCCGCTCTCTGGAGCAAATGATGTATTTCGACACAACTCATTTCCATTAGAACACAAACTGGAGACCTTAAATCACTCTTTCTGTTTTTTATTTTCTTTTCAAGTTGATTTCCGTAAATATTAACTGACTTGCTGGTTATTGATGTCTGTTGTTCATATATTTATGGACTCCCATAAAAGTCCGTAGGGAGATCATCCCTAAAACATTTAATTTAATCCCTACCTTATATCATTCACTCTAACCTTTGAGATGAAAATAACAGTACGGTCACTCTGTACATGAGCACAATACTTTGAGGCCTTATACAATTTTTCAAAAACACACATTTCCCCCACAGTTATACACCAACTTCATTACATTCTGGCTCCATAAAAATATAATTCCGTTTTGATCTTTTTATCACGATAAAAGAGACACTGAAATTGGACGTACTGCGGTAAATTGAAATTAAATGTTTACATTATGAATTTCCGTACAAGGGAATATAAACGAGCCCTGTGGTTGGTTGGTGAACGGCAGACTGACTTTACTTTTAAACCGCCTTTACACCTCTAAGCAACAGAAGAAAATCCCTGGCAGTGACGTTCTGCTTCCGAGCTGTCTCACCCTTCATAGTGCCTACATTGTAAATGCAGCAAGCAGGAGTCGTTTTAAACGCTCCACAGAATGTTTTGGTTTAACCACATTTTTTCCACCTTTAACACTCGAAAAGCTGGATAAAAGAGCGTCCCCAATTTTAACCCTTAGCTGTCTCACGTCTAGCTGGTTAATTATAAGCTCTAAAATGCTTATAATATTTACTATTTACAATGAAAACACGAAATATAATGTTTTTATTATTATTCTTTGTAACAAAAAATTAAGATCATCTATTATTACAAAATGGAAAAAAACAACTTAATTTGGATCGGAAAATGTCTTCTGGGATGTTCCGCCATGTTGTCTGGTAGAAATTTACTGGGTCTTTCAGATCAATCATAGGCCATGGCGATGTAAATGCCTCTTAAACGTCGATGAACAGACAGGAAGATAAAAGATTCTGAACGGAATGGTAGTAATGCACATACGTTAACGATAGATAATTAACTCAGTGGAGAGGCCATTTGTCTGTCAGCCATTTTGGTTGACTGAGCTAAATAGTAGGAAATCCGTCAAATAGGTGATACTAAACTGTGTTTGTTTTGTCCACAGATGTACGTTCCTGTGGTCGTAGCCGTTGTGGTGGTGACTGGTCGAAAGGAAGTGAACACTTCTCTATTCAGTTCCGAGAATACGACACTGATACACGAATCTCAAGCAGAGGAAGTGATGAATTGCGAGTTATTTTATGAGGGTAGTTCAAGTTACTTGAACAGCACACAGCAAAGACATTCCCAAATAAATAACGCATCCGAATTTCGACGTAACTGTGAATCAGATAATGAGGAGGATAAAAACGACCATGTGAAAGGATCACAATCTGTGACAGAGTCCACAAATATAACTCATAAAATAAGTCCCCAACAGAGCAAACCATCCGTAAATATACATCAGTTCAGAAACACCAGTACGAACTTTAAAATGCTGTTGAATATGCGCCAGGATATGAACACGAAATTCTCATAGTACGAACTTTAAAATGCCGTTGAATACGCGCCAGGATATGAACACGAAATTCTCAAATGAACACGAACATACCAGAAACGGCACGGTCTTCACACAGCAAAAAGATCAACTGGATAGAGTGCCTGAATACCACGACGAACTCTCAAGCGATATAAGGAATAACTCACATCAAACAAATACTAACAAGAATACGTCCGTAACACCTGAATCCAACTCAGAAAATAGGAAAAATAGTGCACAAGGTATCCTGAAACCGCTGATTGAAGAGGATGTTCAGCTCAACAGAAGTCTGGCAGAAGCGTGGAATTACACTGAACAGTTTTTAAATTCGGGCGACCTTAATATTGGCCAAAAAGCCATACATTTAACAAAGAATTACGTGACAAGAAGACGAGTTTGGATCAGTTATATGCAGTTGTTTTCATCCAATAATAAGAACCTGTCTGACGTCTTACTAAGTGATGGAACTTCACTTCAGGCAAGGATTAGTGAGTCGAATGAACTGGAAAGTGCCTTGAGTAAGCTTCAAAATATTCACAGACTGGCTACGGTTGTCAAAGTCGAGGAAAAAAACATTCGTACTTATTTTGACACTCATAATTACAGTGCAAGTTTGTCATCTGTCCTTGAAACTGAAGCATACTTGAATGACTGGGAAGTTGCCGTACACGACATGAAAGACATATCAGTTCATTTCAGCCTCAATAATTACTTTACGTTTCCATTGAACAATTCGTTTCATGTGGTGTCAGAAAGGAAAGTTTACTTAGAAACTATGAACGAAAGCATTCACAAAGACTACGTCAGTGCCATCAAGAAACAAGAGTTAAAAATGATATTCCAATATTACGTGTACCCAACAGTTTATTTAGTGATACTTGTGTTGGGTGTGGTGGGTAATGGAGTATTGATATTTGTGTTTGCAAAACACAAGAAAATTCGCACAACCCCCAACATCATGATTTTCAACCTCGCTTTAGTGGACGTCGTAAACCTGTTTATAAATTCACCATTGTACTACATCTCCAAGTACCACAGTCAGTGGATGTATCTGGGTGGCTATGGCTGCAGGGTCTTCGCTACATTCCGCTTTCTTAATCACACAATTATCGAGCTATCTATTGTAGCGCTGAGCGTCCAGCGCTACTGCGCAGTCGCATCAACCATGCGCAAAGCAAGGACACGGCAGAGATTATCAGCGCGTGCCAGAACTCTTACCTTCATTCTTACAGTATGGCTCATAGCTCTAGTTTTTTCACTGCCACCTTCCATAGTTTTCGAGTACCCAAACGGCGTATGTTTTCCGTTAGTAAAATCTCAAATTGTTGTTAAAGTACTCGATATATTTTATTTCGTGTTCTTTTGTTTTGTTCTTCCGATATCAATGGCCGTGTTCAGCGTCATGACAGCTCGGAAGTTGAGACAAAGTGTACTTAATATTCCTGGAGAACTTCGTTACAAAACCCAGGAAATAACTCGGTACAGAAGTGCCAAGGTTGTTACTGCTCTGGCTATTACTTACGCGATCAGCCATATTCCAAGATCTATCTGGTTCTTCTTAGTGTCTTTCTACCACCTTGACAGACATGAAATGAAGTTCATGTGCATTGATGAGGTGACGAACTACCTAATTTTATCTAATTCTTGCCTGAACCCATTTGCACTGTATATTGCCAGTAGAAACTTCAGGCGGCTATTTAATCGCCATCTGTTTTGTATTCAGGAAAACAATCAGCAAGCCAGGCCTCAGCACCGTCAAGTTACTGCCAGCAATAGCAGCACACGGTTAATATTTTTTATAGACTCTGATACAGAAGACATGACCAGTTCTAAAGACTCTTTTCATAGACTAAATATTCCCAAGAAACAAAGTGAAGTTGTAAGTGTTAATCCAAGTGTTTAATAAAAGCTAACTAAAACTAACTGTACAGAGCAAAGTCATTATTTAGGCGCAAATAACCTTGCAGAATTACTACAAATTCCCTTGTCCTTTTCGGAACATGAAGGTTCATCACTGTCCTGACAAGGACCTGCTATTGGTCCCCATCCTCATAAAAAATTAATTCAGCCTACATCCATATACATACTGTCAATTTTAATATTATCCTCCCATCTGCACCTTACGTCTTCCAAGCGGTCTTTTCCCTTTTCATTTTTTGAATAAAATTGTGCATGTGTGCACGTATTTATTTATTTATTTCTCCTCTCTTCCTCATATTCTATATTTCCCCGTCCATTCTGTATTTAGAATAGTGAAAGATTGACAATATATCTATGTATTTAAAATGCTACACATTTTTTTTAACTCGACAATTATCAACTTTATTGGAATCGACAAAAGGACACATTCCAATCAGACCTCAAAGAAGCATATAAAAGAAAATGTTCTATTATTACTACAATGTTTCACAATTCTACATTTGTCATCATATACGCAATGAAATAACTCACTTATTTCGAAACACTGTCGAGTAACACCGAAAAGTAAATTTTGAATTTCACGGGGTCCGCAGACCAATAATTTGGAAACCAATGTATCCTCTCCAACAACGAAAAATTACTTTTTATTTTCAGTTATATATAAAGTAGGCCAACTGAAGCTTTTATACGTAGACTGGATATAATTGAAAAATAAGCATAACTATTTTATTTTAACAAGGACAGAATTGGGATTCTTTCCATAAAGTTGTGTGAATAACATAAAAATCACACTCTTGTGAATTATGTCCATGGCGATCTAGTGTTAACCCAGGCGATCACCATGGACATCTTCATCGCCCGTGTGAACGTCAAACCTAAGTAGTTAACTAAATACACAGATCACAATCACACAGTTAGCAAGCCTATGAAAACCAAACCACAAAAAACAAACAACAAATTAAAAGAAAAATCTGAAGCCGAATTTACATGGTGAGGCTAACATGAACTATATATTAATAATTATACTATTTAATGATCAACTTCCATGCGTAATTTTACATTGCTTTACATGTCAATGAAAACTAGTTATATCAAATTGTCACCATATTCGTAATTGTTTATTTATATAAAATTTTCATGAAAAATTCGTGTTTATCGCTTGCATCCATGCAACACTGACTGAAGGACACCATGTAATACAAAGATAGGACTATAAAGAAAGACGCAAAGCATTAAATCCGAAAAAAAGACATTTTTAAATGTCAGTGAGAACCTCCTGCAATTTCAGTCTCTCTTTGCAATAAGAACATAAAAGCAAAACAGGAAGAAACGGAGAAATCCCCCTGCCATCTGGCATGCGCCCAGCACGCAACTCGACAAAAATTCCCTTTGAAGGTCAGTCGGTACACAAGACGCACAATTTGTGAGAATCTAAACTTGTAAACGAAACGCTCCTATATAACAATCCGTACCTTTCATTTCAGTTTCATTGCGGTGACATCATTCAGGTATATGATGCATTATTTATTATATTTCTGTTCTTCTAAAGAAGGATGGAATAGTGTTATCTCGTCTTCCGGTAACATCTATAGATCTTCATTCCTTGTCGTGTATCATAGAAGGCATTTTAATTATTTTCGTTTCGCTTATGACCGATCTTGTTATGATAAATACTCTGAATACTAAATGTAACGAAAATTTAAGAATATTTTGAAGAACCTACACCACGATACAATGAAAATCTAACACCATCAATTTTGTAAAAGGAAATTGGTACAGACCTAATTAAAATTTACAGAGTTTATCTGAAGTATTTTTAGGCATGGTAAATGTTTAACGAAATAAAGGAAAACTAACTGCTCATGGGTAGATGAAATAATAATATTAAAACAAATCTTTAGGGAACCAGGGTGTGGCAATGTCAACTGGATCGAGGTACAGCCAATTATGAAGTTATTGAAACAAAGGTAATCATACTTAAATGTACATAACAACTGGTCCTTTCTCGAATCGTTAAATGCCTACCTACTACTAGCAGAATACGAAATACCAAGCGATTAATTTGTTGCTGTCATTAACAGTTCTCGGGAAAATTTTCTTTGCATTATATTCCTCGTGAGACCTAAAAAACTGTTTCTGGATCTTGCGTTATTTATCGCCGGTCTATTAAGTGACTACAAAGCGGTGAATTAAACAGGAATTAATAAAAAAAATGAGTATGGAGGATGTGGTTATGGCATATTTGAAGGTGTTCCAAGTTAGAATAGAATATGAGGCTGGAGTTCTAACCAATAACTTCCTACATTTTGTTCCGTGAAGTAAAATTTAAGACAGTTCATAGCAAAACGTGTTGGGAATGATGTGGCTTACATTACTACAAGACTCAGCCATACGCTATAACTAGGGAACCAGGATTTGGGCCTACGTGAATTCCCATTTCTGGGGTGTTAGATTAATATCAACGGAGTATTAATCCTGACTGGGACCTGCAATTCCGATTCCAAATTTCTCAGCTCCTGAACTACAGCCGAACTGTTATTAGCTGAATCACGGTTTGGAGGGTCGAACAGAAGTTGAATGAAACAAATCACCTTCTGGTCTGTGACAAAGTTAAGAAATTTATCTATTATCTTACGCGTTGTTGTATCATGTAGTTTTTTAAAAGTGTTCCAACGTTTTAGAGAAATACACTGCCTCTATTATCAGTGCTGATGAAAGTTTTGTACGACACAACAAAATCTCTAAACTCACACTGAAATATTTTGAAAAGACAGTAAAAAGTCAAAATTGCTTTCATGAAGAAATCAAGGATATATCCAATTCTGCGGACGCTTGGTATCTACCACGCAGTTAAAAAACTTGTTCTTCCTGTATCCTATCTAAGCATATAATCACACAAAATTATAAATCTACCGACTGCTTTATTGAGGTGCGAACTTCTAACACAAGAACGTAACGAGGAGATTTAAATAAAGTGCCGAGGAAAATATATGGACGTTAGACAGAGGATGTGACAGGGTTATTGGGGAAAAATTGCAAAATGTTGATCTTCATAACACGTAATGATGATCAAATATTATAAGGGTGATTAAATAACGAAGAAAGATATGAACAGAGTATTTGGGCTAAGATGGCTAGCTGAGCAATTCACACAATTCTGACATCTTGAAAGAAAGAGTCCACCTGGAAGACCTGAGCGTAGATACGAAGATAATATTACATTATATCTTAAATAAACATTCCATAAAATTTCGTACCTGCTGTGCACTCCTAAAATTCTCAGATATGTTAACCACATCTATCGCTTACTTTGAACATTCACAAGTAATGTTAACAAAAACAAACCACAGTCTTTCAATCTGTTTGTTAATAATACCAGCAAAAGTAAATAGTTCTTTCGTATGTTCTAATAAACTGAGGAGTGTCGTGGTAGCTCACATTTCTCAGATTGTTATTAAAGTAGGTTAAGTCAAGCAGAAATCTCAATTAATTTATTATGTATAAAGTTTGTTTATTCTTTGAAACTTTAAACAGACTTGAAACGTACTTGAAAGAGTTCACACTTGTTAAGTCCTTTCAAGTTCATGTGTTCAAGTAACTTGACAAGCGTGAATGCGGCTTTGTAGTGGCTTTCTACGTACCAGGAAAACTTCATAACCACAGACGAAGAAATAAAACAAGAGAGACAGTGGGTAACCTTGGCAGGTGAACAGTTCTCTGCTACACACACATACACGTACCTCAAAAAGACGTACATACATTCAACAAAAGAAATAAAGACATTTTAATAAACTAAACCATTACATTACATTACTTAGTGAATTAGCGAATCTTTTGTAGGTGTTGAAAGTGACAGCGGTGTGCAACGGACTGACTGACAAGCGACCGCCAAAGTTGTTGTACACATCTTTTTGGGACACCTTGTATGTTATGCTACGCAATATTTATATGCTTCACAGCAATATATTGGTAAAATAAACATTTATACGAACACAGAAAACCATTTTATAACGGCATATAAATTTTTCCAGCATTTCCTTCTTTGAAACAATTTATTTTTCTAGAAGTTTTGCACCAAATATTCCCCCGCAGACAGCATAAACTGACAATTTTTTCATGGGTCTATCCAGTCTCCACATGTTTGTAATACATCTCACTCTTTGCATGCTATTTATCATTAAACAAGCAAATAATAAATTTCCTTCTTTCTTCCCTTCCTTCTTTATTAATTAACTTTTTCGTGTTTCTCTTTCTATTTCTTCATCCCATTTACTCTCTTTTTCTGTATATCATCTGAAACGACGTAAAGAAGGCATTTGATACAGCGGCGACAAATATTGCGATAATCGACGAAATCAGACATCAAACCCAACCACTGCAGTGCATCCCGAAGGTCACTAGATGCAACTTTGCGACAATTTTTTCACACGGTATGACGTAAACTCTTCTAAAATTAGTTTTGGAGGCCAGTTTTAGGAAGAGTTTCTATAAAGGTATTTCAAACAGCACAGAAGCCTTTGTTGCATAATCAGATGCCGAAAGGTTAAGGTTTGTCTTTTGATCCATATCATTGGCATAACTATACTGAAACTGGTCCAGAGAAAATGAATGTTTACAGAGCGTCGAGCACACAGCAGAGAGAAAAAAATTGTAAAGTTTAATCTGTTTCATCACCGTTGCCAAAAGGGAAAATCTCTATGTGGTGACGTCTTTTTTCATTTCCGTAGTTTTATATCCAACAATTTTACTATTAAACCTAGTAAATCCTACGTACGTAAATACACATGGAAGATGGCGTACTGAAACTTGTCTAACAAGCGACGTGTTAAATAACTGGTGTTCCGAATTCTTAAGATCGATCGGTTCGATTGTAAATTGGATATATCCATATTTTAAAGCTTCAACGTCCTACCGAGATAGGTCATGACAGCTGTTACCAGGCAACTAGTCAAGAAGTTTACAGATTTCATTGGTTCAATACAATGATCAAAAGAGGTCCAGCCTGAGTCACATAAAAGAGAATAAACATCCCCGAAAACCAGTATAAATTATTACGTAAAAAAGTGATAGTGGAACCACGGTTCCGGAGAATT